CCTAGTCTCCCTTTGTGTACCAATCCTCCTTTTCGAGAAGAATAATATCAAATCCTTAATTTAGAGTACTTTTAGGCTCCAGTCGGAGATGTAATTAACTATGGGGGCTTGTTCCCGTGGGATACAAAATTGCATAATAAATAAACCCACTCGAGCTGATGTATCGATTGGGGGAAACCCCGTAACAATGATCAGGTAGTGCATACAGTCACCCATCAGAGTGCGCTTATCAGAGCCGCTTTCCTTAATAGTTGATCATATGTAGGATCTAATATGCCTTTCCATTGGCCTATTTATGATGATGCGGAGGCCTACGATTGTTTCTGTCCCTCAGGGTGGCACGATTGAATACCCTCTATACTCTATAAAGCGGTGGATCCCTTAAGGAGGTCTACAACATCGTGTTCCCCAGTGAGGTGTCATAAGTAATTAACCGTCTCCTTCTCATGAGCATCTCTATAATTCTAGCATAAATACTAAACATAATTCACCAAAGGGGATGCATCCTCATCACTCATGTTTTCAAAAAAACCACCTTGTACCTGGTAGGTAACCGCTCCACCCATATCAACATCACTTTTCTTCATGAGAAGTTATCTGACCCCATAGGTGTGATTTGTGTTAAACCAAGATGTCCCCATTTACATTGGAGCTCATTTCACACAACCCAAAATGGTAGACGACATCTCAGCAGGATTCCAACTAATGCCCTGTTTAGCTTTGGAATATTCCCTCTAGCTTTATTCAAATCCAATGTCACCAAGCCATCCTCCCGCAGAAAGCTTCCAACATCATCATACAAACTCAATTTAACTAGCATAGGCTTTTTCCAAGTGTTAGTTGCAGCCCCAATCTCATCAACTTCTCTCTAAACCAACTTGGAAGGCCCATGAGTTTGCAAAGGCTATTGTGAAGAAAAATCCTCTGTATAAGCATTTCTCCGAACATCTGATGCTCATTTTGAAACATTGAATAAATCATTGCTTGCAATATCTAAATGTTGACCCTTAAGTAACAAATCATCACATTTCACTTCAGATATATTACCAAGAACACAAAAATTTACTCTTGGCTTAAAAGGATCAATATCTATTATAACTTCCTGGACGTTCAACCCGAAGAAACCATACCCAGATCTCCAATATGACCGAATGTAAATTAAATTTTATGTGGTTCAAACATTGGGTTATCAAGAATTTTACTCACCTAAATTTGTTCATTGGAGGTAAGCATCACCTTCTCATCATATTGAAACATTCTAACCTGCTCTGAACCAACGACAATGCCACCATGAGGACCAGAACCCGCAGCATCCTTGTTCTCCACTATTTGGTCCATTGATCCAGCACGATCAGCCACCTCCTTAATAAACTCAACCTCAGAGCCACCCATAATTTCCATAACTTCATCCTGATCGGATGAATCCTGCAGTGAAATATCCTGATCAACCATCTCATTTCCCTCAGTATTCGTCTCAACATCCAACTCCTCATAAGATGTCACATCCTGACCAACAACCTTCTTCGAAGCTACACAACAATTCGATCTAGCTCCCCCAGCTTTACCTGGTATCGAACATAGACTAGCTGCTTCCCTTCAGCTCCAATGTCAGCCATACCGCCCAAGCCAACAAAAAAAAGCCTCCTTTCACTACTAACTCCTCCGCTATTTACCACATCAGCTCCCAAACTACTCCACCCAACCACATTCCTCTCTCTATCACTTTTACCTAACCTATCTCCAACACTGTTCCCTCCAGCAGCATCTCTCCATCCACTGCTACTCGAGGAGTGATGAGGGGGTGACTGCCGGTCACCCCCCACCATATCCCATGAGCTAAAGCGATCAAATCGTTGTGGTTAGAACTCCTTTTCGAGAGAAAATTTTCTCCCAGGAGAAATCCTATAGAGAGGGAGAGAGAGAGAGGGAGAGGATGAGAGGGAGAGAGGGAGAAGGAGAGGGGAGAGAGTGAGAGAGGGAGGGGAGAGGGGAGAGGTAGAGAGAGAGAGAGGGAGAGAGGGAGGGAGGGAGAGAGCTGAAGAGAGAGAGAGAGAATAAGATATATATATATATATATGGGGAGAGAGAGAGAGAGAGGAGAAAGAGAGAAGGAGAGAGAGATGAAGAGAGAGAGAGAGAGAGAGATAGGAGAGAGAGAGAGAGAGAGAATAAGAGAGAGGTAGTTGAACTTCTGCATTAAAAATGAAATAAAAATCAAATGTAAATCTATACCTTATCACTAACCTCCCTCAACAATGACAGAAGTGTTGAGCGAAAATCATCATTATTAACATCATGTAAAGTAAAAATACCAAACAAAGCTTAATGGGAACAGTAATTGGTCGACTGGGGGGGGGCGAGGGGCATTGGTTATGAGGAGGCAACCCAATAGGCTTATTTGTGCACCATTGCTCCAGAATTGCCCATATGTAAGGTTTAGGTAAGAGTGAAAGCGCAGCAGCAGCTATAACTGACAGAGACCTGCACATCCATCGATTCTTCATATCATTTCTATCCCTCCACACCTGGTAGACATTATAGCAATATATCCTTCCCATACTAGGATTCTTCTCATCAAAATTTGAGAGTTGTAAAATCAATTTAACTAGGGAGTTCACAATGGGCGATACAAATCCCCATTTTCCAATATTAGCAATCACTTGCTTCAATTTTGCACATTGAGTAGTGCAATGATCCAGTGTCTCTTCCACATTGCATCCCCATGGACAAAGAGGGGTATCAGATAACTTCCTGCAGAATAACCAATAGGTGGTCAGATTTGCATCCATGAGCAGTCTCCACCACAAGAAATTTTCATGTGGGTGACGCTTAAGTTTATTGAGCCAGCTATATTGGTAGTCTCCCGTACCCATAATAGCTCTATATGCCATGGAATCCACCATCATTTCACTCCGAGAATGAATAAGTTCAGGACAATCCAAACTTTCTCCATTATTCGTGCTAATAGAAATAATCTTTTTTGTCATAATCTTCCCAAAACATTGCTCAACCATTTCCCCATTCCAATGTAATGATCTATTCAAGAAGTTTATCACCTTGACTTTTTCCACCTTATCTATATTGATAAATGTAGGCCACAAAGCAATCTTCTGATCCAAAATCCATATATCCTAGAGCACAACTTTATGTTGGCCTTTCATAATTTTCTACCTTAATATAGGTCAAAGAGCCCTTGCACCATCTTGGATCACCTTCAAAGACATAGATACATTCTTTCCCTGCATATTTCCCCATAGATTCAACCCATGTTTAGTCATCAGCATATTATACATTAAGGAATCAGAATTTTGGAGCAAATCCCATGCCAGACAGGCACGAAGAGATCCCTTCCATTGGGTAAGACAATGAAATACAAGTCCCCCCTGGCTCCTCAGTTGGCACAGCTCCTTCCACCCAACATAGTGCATTCCTCTACTGTTTGTATCTTTTTGCCAAAGGAATCGCCTGCCCAATCTCTCAATTGTGTTTAAGACCCCATTAGGAACATAAGTATGAGTCTTAAGATACATGGGAACATATAACCGTTACATTTTTATCAGTAGAGCTCTACCCGCCAAAGATAAATGTTTCTTCCCCCACAGGGTCGTCTTTTAATGTGCATTCTATAAAACGTTTTGAATAATCAGTGGCTACAAGCTTCCTCATTACAAAGGGTAGGCTGAGACACTCCAAAGAGTTCACCTTTCTATACCCCATCATCTTTGTAATCATCCTCCTCTTCCAGTTTGGACACCTCTTGTTAAAGAGAATGTCCGACTTCCCACAATTGATCTTCTTACCTGTCTAACCACAATAATTATCTAATAATCCCATAATTTGAATGGCATTGCTCCGACTAGGTTCTGCAAACACTAGAATATCATCGACATACAGCAAGTTTAAAATTTATTTTGTGTTCTTAACTACTTGAATCCTGAGCAGTTCACTTCTCTGCCTAAAATCTTTGGTCAAAAGTTTAGAACAGAGAATAAATAGGTAAGGTGACAAGGAGCATCCTTGTAGAAGGCCGCTCATGGCATTAATCCATTATGTACTACTCCCATTGATACGGAGTGTAAAATGGGGCCTAGTAATGCACTAGATCACCCAAAGAGTGAACTTCTCCTTGAATCCCATTAATATCATAACTTTTTGCAAAGTTTCCCATGACTTACTCCATATCGACCTTTTGCGCCATCAGCCCAAATTTTTGGGTTGAGTACTTAAATTTACACATCATCTCATGAGCCTTCAATCCATGACTAGAGATTGACCTCCCCGGAATGAAGGCCCCCTATTATTTGTTGTGAATGCTACTCAACACCGGCTTGAGTCAATTAATCAACACTTTGGCTACTACCTTATAGAATGATTGGCAAAGACTAATTGGCCTAAATTTGGATGGCATATTGGCATTATGTCTTTGGAATAAGAACCACCAAAGTTTCTTTCCAGCTCTTACATATGGAGTTAGTGCAAAAGAAATGAATAATAGCACAGGTAACATGAAATTTAATGATTTCCCAATAAAATTTCAAGAATGAAGATGTAATACCGTCAATCCCTGGAGCTCTATTATTTCCCAAGCTGAAGACCTCTTGTCGTACCTCCTATTCAGTAACCTCTACCTCCAAGCTTTCATTCAATTGTTTGAGGATCTTGTCATCATTCTGAAAAATAGGCTAATTCTCTATAGTAACTTGCCTATCTTTCCACTTATGCATAAAAAAATTATAGAATTCATCCTGAATAAGCTTTAGTTCAGTGATCCTATCTCCACTCAATTTTTCGACTTCGACAATTTTGTTACCCCACCTACGAGCTGATGCAATCGAATGGAAGAATTGAGAATTAGTTTCTCCTTCTTCAATCCATCTTTCCTTCGCTCTTTGCCTCCACCAAGTAGTCATCTGTGCCAACGTGGCATTCAATTTGACTGCCTTCAGACAGAGCTCTTGATCTTGATCTTCATTCAGCCCTCTAATAGAGCACTAAAGCATTTATAGTTCTTTAATACGCCCTTCCAAGGAAATCTTCAGCTCACCTAGCTCTTTTAACCAATTTCTACTCCAGAAAAACAACGCCTTAAGAGTCCTGTTGCACTTTTGGTTCAGAACCTCTCTAGGTTTCCCATAATCCTGTTTATTCCAATTCTTCCAAATAAGCTTCCACGTTACAGGATACGTCATCCAGTTATCTTCAAATCTAAACCATCTGCATCCAGGTCTCAACATTTTTGAAGTTAAATTCAGTAATAACGGACAATGGTCTGAAGCAAGCCAAATGAGATGCTTTACCATGGCCAATGAATCTAATCGAAGACCTTCTGAATTCATTAATACTCTATCAAGCCTCACCCAAATTTTACTGTTACCACTCTTGTTGTTTGACCAAGTGTATTTGGGTCCCAAGAAACCCAAATCATGCAAGTCGTTGTCTACCAGGAATTCAACTATTTTTTGAGCCCCCTCTGAGTAGCTATATCTTCTACCGCCCTTCTTCTCACCCTGATTTAGGAAACAGTGAAAGTCTCCCCCCACAATCATAGGGAGATTCAACAGAGATCCCATCCGAAGAAATTGCATTTATCTCCTCACGATGGAGGATTGGGATGTGCTCCAACTTCCTCCATGTGTTACCAATTCCAACCAAGAATGGTGTTCCATTAATCACCCTCTTCCCATTAATATCCCCCAAGCTTTATATAGATTTGCCTAGAGTAGCATTTCCATAAGCATCTAAAGTTCTATTCAACGGATTATCCAAACTAGAGGATTTGAGCTCTTCTCCGATCATGCCTACAACATCTGCTCTAGGTAAACTAACATCAGATGTAGAACAACCTCCCTTCATAGCCAAATTATCAAAGCTTACATTATTCCGATCAGCTAGATCATTAATTACCTCCATCGAACTATCCCGTTCGAGTGTTGCAGCTTTCACGTCAACCATCTCCTCTATGCTACTCTACAATCCAAAGTATAATCATTCTTTTCCACCTCCATCGAATATTTCATCCCATTGAACGTCGGGTTATATCTCATACTCAAACCCAAATTCGATTTCAGCTCTTTATCCACCTTAAGAGGAGAACCCTCCATTTTACTTCCAGAAGCTCTAGTCGAACCAAAACCTCCCTTAGCTGTCTTTTGCACCAATTTGGAATCCAAGTTACTAGGCTTAACCTCCCACTGGCCTTCTAAAGATCCATCTGATCCAGCTTTACCTGCATCCAAAGCTTTTCCTTTAGATTTATTCACTGCGAACTTCCCAGGAGAATGATTTCCTGACTTCTTTGATCCCCGGGGGGAGAGAGAGAGAGAGAGAGAGAGAGAGAGAGAGAGAGAGAGAGAGAAAGATGAATATCTGCATTTGCATTAAAAATGAAGTAAAAATAGATATAATTAAACTACCCTGTGTAAACTATACCCTATCGCTATCCTCCCACAACAATGACAACAAAGTTGAGGGGAACTCAGTATTATTCACATCATATAAAATAAACCTACCAAATAAAGCTAAATAGAAACAATAATAAGCTGGTCGTTTTCTGTCCCGAGGTATATATTGGAAAAAAACATGTTTAAACTCCATCAAGAAGGATATATTCGGTCCATCAACTCTAAAGTGGACTTTATTCTGATGGTCATTGAAGTTCTGCATCCACCGTATTGCATTAATGCAATCTCCCTCAATAATAATATCTTCCAATTCAACCATCTAGTTCATCAGCACCTCGTGGATAGCAACAGCAGCCATAACTTCCACATGAAAGGCATCCCAATGTTCAATATTTTTTCCAGCTACCAGATCAGGGCTCCAACATGATTACGTGCAACAATTCCAAGACCAGCCTAATTAGATGTCTTCAAGGATGCATCCACATTAAACTTCAACCAACCTGGAGGGGGGGGCACCATTATTTATGGGGAGGCAGCCCAATGGGCTAATTAGTACTCCATTGCTCCAGAATTGGCGATCTATAAGGTTTTGCTAAAAGACAAAGCACAGTAGAAGCTATAATTGAAAGAGATCTACTCGTCCATCCATGATTCATATTGTTCCTAGCTTGCCACAGCTGATAAACAACATAGCAATATATCCATCACATACTAAGATTGCTGTCAACAATGTTTAAGAGCTCTAGCATCAACTCTTCTAATGCGTAACTATGGATATTACAAACACCCATTTACCAAAAATATCAAAAACTTGCTTCAGCTTTACACATTGAGTAGTGCAATGGTCCAATGATTCTTCCACATTACATCCCCACGGACAAAGAGGTGACTCAGCTAATTTCCTGTGGAATAGCCAGCAACCAGTTGGGATTGCAATCCTAAGTAGTCTCCACCAAAAATATATTCTCACGTGGGTGTAGTTTCAGTTTATTCAACCAGCTAAATTTGTAATCTCCCATCCCAATCTTAGCCTGGTAAGCAATAACAGTCAACGTCATGTTCATCCGAGAATGGGTGAGTTCAGGATAATCCACACCATTACCATTATTTGTACTAATAGCCATAATACGCTATGCCATTATTTACCGAAAGAACTCCTCAACCATATCACTATTCCACTGTGATGAGTTATTCAAAAACTTACATGCCTTGACATCTTCCATTTCATCCACATTAATAAATGTCGGCCATAAAACAATGCTCCGGTCAAATATCCACGTATCCTGCAACACATCAATATGTTGGCCATTCCTAATTTTCCACCTTAAAATAGGACGAAGTGCCATTGCTCCATCTTGGAAACATTCCTGCCCTACTTATGACACCAAATGTCTGTCCCATATTTACATATCAGCACTCTATGCAATAGAGAATCAGAATTCCAGAGCACATCCCATGCCAAACAAGCACGGAGGGAACCCTGCCATTTAGCTAGACATTGAAATCCAAGTCACCCTTGTTTCCTTGTTTGGTACAACTCCTTCCATGCAACATAGTGCATTCCTCTACTAGTTGCATCTTTTTTCCAAAGAAAATGCCTACTCAGCCTCTTAATAGAGTTTAGAACCCCATTAGGGACTGAAGTATGAGTCATTAAATACATGGGAAAAGATAAAAGAGAAGTTCTAATCAATATAGCTCTACCTGCCAACGAGAGATGTTTCTTTCCCCATAGAGTCGTCTTCTCATGAGCACTCCTGATGATTTTTAAAAAATCAGCTGCTACCAACTTCTTCATTACCAAAGGTA